TTTGCTCCTGAAACAGGGGAACTTGCATCTGATTATCTTCAAAACTGATAGAGTTATTTAAAATCAAGGCCAAACTAAGTTTTTTTTTTTTTTTTTTTTTTTTTTTTTTTTGCCTAGTTTAGTGACATACCTCTTACCTCTTTACTTGGCGACATTTTTTTGGCAACTTAAATAATTTATTTTGACATTATCTGGCAACTTTACTTCAGTTTAAAAATTTTATTCTGTAACTTTCTGATCATATTAACCGAATTGTTGATCATAATAAGCGATGTAATTTCCATGTTTTCGTGCATAAATGAGCGGGACTTCGCAGTTTCATAACAATTATCGGAATTAACCGTGATCACATCAAGCGGCGCCTACTGTAATATCAGATTACGGATCCATACCTATGACGCGTTCCCGTTATTTTTAACTGCTGATAATATTCATTTCTTTCTTTAAAAAAAATTACGTAAGGATTTATCAAAATTGATTTTTCATAAGATACAGCAGAGTCTTGCAAACTCGACTCCTAATTATTCGAATTCCTGTATAACTCGACTACCCCCTTTTTTACTTCCTTTTTCGAAGTAAAGGAAGTACTGTAATCAAGACAAATTTCGGGTATCATATTTCAAAGAAAATATTCATTTTGACCACTCTCGAATCCATTTAAACGATGTTTTTGCGTGACGTCTGTACGTGTGGACAGAGTAAACGACTCTTTTTTTCCAAAATGGATTTAAAATGTATTCAAAAGAGAATATCTCGTGACGTCTGTAGGTACGAACGTACGAGGGTATCTCGCATAACTGAAAAACAAATAGCCTTAGAACGTTGAATTTGGTATATGAGACTGATATAGCATGCAGTTCTGTGTCTCTCTTTTTGGTTGCAATCGGCCTCATCAAACGCATATATATTTGAAATTTATTGGTATTGAATTTCACTTTTTTTGAGGTCTTTGTGTAAAAAAATCTTCTAAATTTCTTAGTTTTGTCTATTTATATAAAAGATTGAATTAAAGTAAATAGATTAATAAATAGTACTAAAAGTCCATTAGTAAATAAATTATTATGCATATATGCACACATATATATATAATTAAAGAAAAGAGAAGAAACTAAAAAAGACCTTTGTGGTTAAAAACTTTGCGCATTGAGCTACAAAATTTAGAAAAAAGTTAAAAGAAAATTCCTAGTGCTTACGCCAAAAAGTCGCTTAGATACTGTGGTTCCGTTGACAATATTAACATAAGTAAAATAAAGTGCAATGAAAGGTGTAAATATAAAATATTAAATAAACAATATAAATACTTGAATATTTACAAATAAAATTCAATACTAATTGTAAGTAATATGCTGATCATAATAAGGCATATTTTAATCATTAAAGTGTGACAAAAGACTTAAAATACAAAAACAAAAAAGCGGTAAATGGTAGATTAGCCCAAATAGAATCTCATTCAGGACACTTCAGAGGAATTCAGGAAATTTTTTAATGATTTTCGAATCCAGCTAACTCCATATCGCGTTTCACCGAAACAGACAATTGAAACTGTATACGAAACTCCTTTTTAAATATTAATTGAAAAAACTTAGTCATAAACTTTAGTTTCAATTCTCTATTCCAATTTCCCGACGCGTCCGCTTGAAGAAGGTGTAATAAAAACTATATGCAATGGACTGGTTATGCCAATGTACAAAATAAATTAAATAGCGATATGCCTATTAGTCAAAAAATACAAGATTTTATGGGAGGACCTACTAGCTTATAGAGTTTAAACTTTGTGAATGTACCAAAAATTAAGTTTAAAAATTATAATATATATATATGTATGTATGTATACACACACTGCGGGACAGTTGCTAAGAACGGATTTCAAACTGCGAGGTAGCATAACATTAAGTGTAGTCGGAGGGTAAGCAGAATAAAATAGTGTTGCTATACTGTTAGAGAAAAGAGCATTTATTGTTGAGGAAATTACAGAAAGTTTTGAAACATCCAAACGTAAAACAAATGTCCTTTTAATGCTATGTATCGAAAAATGAAAAAATTCATATGAACGAAAGCAGAATCCTTTGAAAAGGTGCCAGTACGGAATATATCTGCTGAGGATTGCGGTGCAACTTTTCACATATCGTGCATATTTTGCGCAAATCCGCAGCTGTGAACTATTATCCCTTCGTCATCATGCCGCTGATACTTCTGTCGTTGAGGATATTTTTGACAAGCTAGTCACCTTCCAGAGCATCCCAAACATTTCCATTGTGATTTAGAAAAGTATGTATTAGACCCAAGGAGCACGTCTCCAAAAATATACGTATAATTTTGGTGAAATAAGGGTATGGTATTTTTTGCACGTTACTTTTACGAAATTTATACGAATGAAAAAGGCTGAAGTTACTGTTAACTCTTGATCGTTATTTTCCACACGTTATTTTTACGAAAATTATACGAATCCGAATGTACTGATAAAACTACCGCCATGATGGTATATTTTATTCGTCACTTTTACGCATATTATACGAATCCGAATGTTCTGAAAGAAACTACTGCCTTTATGGTATATTTTCATTCGTCACTTTTACGGATATTATACGAAGTCTAAAAAGATTGAAAATGAAGTTTATTAATTCAAAATATTTAGTGTATTTCTGGCATTTCACTTTGTTTTCCTTGTCCACGAACATGAAAAAAGGGGCATTCATATATGAGGCTAAAATTTTTCTATAAATTTTAACATGTGAGCTAAATCTTTACGTGCATTTTTGCAAAAAATTATATTTTCTTAATTCAAACATCTTCAAAATAACTTATTTATTTTCTTATATCAAATTTGTTATTTTTATTCATATCAACACTTACATTAATTTACACAATTTAATTTCTTTTATGAAAATCCTATTACCCATTTAACTGGAATAAGCTGTATATTAAATTTGTGTACTTACTGAGTTTGGTACAATACTCTCCTTATTTTATTTAGCAAATGTGGGCAATTAAATTGGAATAAGACTAGCAAATCTTTCATGTCGAGGAATAGAATAATAAATACAGCAGAAGATGCTCGAAAACGTTTAACTTCTTGAACAATAGTTTAATGTAGACCAAAGGATCATTAATTATAATCAAAGATATACTAATATTTTTATTTAATAATAATAATAATAACTCTACGAAATTGCAAGCTGAATCCTGATATTTTACATATATTTCAGTTCCTTTAATCTTTGTTATAAAAATCATATGAGGCTAATTTTTTTAAATTTTGTTTAATGTACGGAAAAAATGATATAGCGATTTTAATAATTTTTATATGAGGAAAAAATTAATAAATAATGTAAATAAATATTATATTTTATATTTTTCCTGAAACAGTTAAAGACATTCTTAATATGGAGATCTACAGAATAAGTACAAGGGTCCAGTTAAATGAACTCAAAATTTGCATAGTTAATTTTACGCTAACTTATAAAAATTAACCGGATTTACGATTATACACTGAGCATGCGCATACACAGACATTTCTATTTTTCGTAGAAAAATTTAATTATTACCTTAATACAGAGATGCTGTGAATATAAATTTATATAATGCAAAAGTAAGTTTATTTCATATGCTAATTTAGAGGCTTTCTTAATATGTTTAATTATAAAGAAAAAAAAAAGCGTTGCAATTCTTGTTCACTGACCAATGGCAAAGCAGACACTTTCTACTTCCGGTTGTGGCGGGATATTTGTGAAGTCAGCACTCAGCAATGGCGGTCGAAAAGAATGGTAAAGTCGCAAAGAATACTGTTTGTTCGTGGATTGGCGTTTGTGACTGAATCCATCAATGTTACTAATTATTTGAAGAAAGTAAGTGAATATTTTATATTTTCAGTGTTTAATACTCGTACTTTCTTCACCTATATAAAATTTTATAAATAGCGTCTGTGTAGGAAATGTGATTTTCCATGTGTTGTTCTTTTGTGTACGTGCCTAATGATTCATTTTCAGGATTTGGTACATGGTACTGTTAAATTTTGCACTAGTCTGTTTCTTACTGTTTGTGTCACTCCTTTTGTATGTGTCTCACCTTTTTATAGTTATATTATTTTTACTCAAACGTTTTAATATTTATCTTAAAGCATACTGTAATTAAGCAGGAAATAGCTTTTAATGGAAAAAGAAAGGCAATATTAACATGACTAATTGTTCAGAAATCTGTTATGGAAATATTATCTACCTTATGCCAAAAAATAAAGCATGTAACTTTCATTTATTTATGAAATTCAAAATTTTTTATTTGCTTAGTGTTTTCCCTAAAAATAATTTAATTTCTTATTTTTGAATTTAGTTTTATAAATTTGCTTTAATATATAATCTTTAACTCAAAGATATTGTGCTATTAAAAAAGGAAATTTTATGCCATAGAAACACAGGTACTTTGTTCCAAATCTGTGTTCATTTTTTTTATATATATATACTGAATTTTTATGCACTTGTAATTACTGAAATATATCCTTTCATGAATAATAAGTAAGTCCTAAGTCCTTTCATGAATGCATTTCTTTTTTTGTTTGTTTGATTTTGTTGTTTTAAAAGATCTGCCATAGTTAAAGAAAGAAAATAAAGTAAGAATGCTTTACTTTCAGTTTTGAATAAATTTATTACTATTTACTGCAGCTTCAAGTTTCTCTAAACATAATTTTCGAAGTCAAAACTTGATAGTTATGTTGATTATTAGACTTGCATGAAAAAATTTATTGAAAAATTAGTATTTGATCTAAAATACCTTAAATTATTTGAATTATATTTTACTAAATCATGTATTTTGATATAACTAGATAGTTAAAAAAAATTTAAATTGTAAATGTGCAGAAATGCTTATATAAAACCAAGAAATTGTTTATATTTTTGTTGCTTTTTCCCTTGTAAATTAATTATATATATATATTACAGTCTGGGGAGTCAGCCACCCTGCTGAATTGTAGTAAACGAGACGTCCAATCTACTAGACCATCAAAGATGCAGATTTGGATTTTCTATTTCATAGTTATTGAAATCATAATGGTATGTTTGTTTAAATTAGTACTGTTTATGAATGTGATAAAAATAAATTCTGATAAGCTAAGAAATGATTTATTTTCTATTAATTATGAACTGTAAATAATGTAACCAATTTTCTTCATAGTATTTACTAAACATTTTTTTTTTTTTTTTTTTTTTTTTTTTTTAAAAAGGGAGGTAGTCTTATTTATACAATTCTTGCAGAGATACCAAGAAATAAAACATTTCAGGAATTTTCACTCAGTATATCTTGATGTGTAAAATCATGTTGTTCAATGCCATATTACTTTTTCACAGGAAAGTAATTTTATTGATCTAACATCTGCATAAATCAAACTTTTTTAAGAATGATTACAGTTTCTAAGCTAACTTAAAATTTTCAGATTTAGAAAATGTGTGTTTAATGTAGCATTAGTTTTCCATGGAATAGAAAAGGTTTTCAAAATGTTCAGTTGTTAGAGGGAAATAATATAAATGAGATTGTCCTGATACAGTTTCAGCTGGAAATGAAACTGAATTTTCGGATAGTGAAGATTTCATTTAAGAATTCTGATAAAACTGATTAATGTAATCCTCTGCATTTAAAATTCTAATAAAACTGATTAATGTAAATTCATTTAAGAATTCTAATAAACTGATTAATGTAAATCCTCTGCATTTAAGAATTCTAATAAAACTGATTAATGTAAATCCTATGATTCATGTAGGTATTCTTCTGTTATCAGGACCAGATTCAGAAATGTGTGTTTATATGCATGCATTTTTAAATGTAGGTGCTCGTGTGTGCATGTGTATATTCTTTATGTATGTATGTGTATTTATATATGCGCATACATGCATATACACATGCTTACATATCTACAGTGGAACCCCGAGATACGAGTTTAATTCGTTCCAGCATTCAACTGGTATAGCGAATTTCTCGTATCTAGAAACAAGCTTCCCCATTGAAAATAATGGAAATTCAGTTAACCCGTTTCCACACCCCAAAAAATATCAACATTTTAATATCAAGTCAATTTTTCCTAATAAATAACACTGGTAAATAATATAACAATAGTTTAACTTTGTTACCAACATTTTAACTCCTTCTCATTAATCCACACCAACAACAGCTTCTCAACATCTAGGAGTACTTTTATGGTGCTTGGAAGCAACGATAATTCCTTTGGCTACATCAGGTTTCTTAATTTCTTCCTGCTTCTTCAGAATAGTATAGATTTTCGATGTTGAAAGGCCGCAAGTCTTCGCCAATTCCGTCACCATGCTTATGTTTATCTACGATTTCTTTCTTGATATCGACGGCCATGGCCTCCTTATTTTTCTTTGCAGCACTATCTGAGGCAACAATCTTCTTGCGAGGCATCTTGAAATAATTATTTTCACGTTAAATGTCAAAACAATTAACTTACAAGTGCACAAACACGTATATAAAAGAACACTGAGTGATCTGACGAGGGGATTCCCCGAGTTGAGCCGGATAGGGAAATGGCGCCACCCATACCAACAGCCTGGCTCATTGCTCGTTACTCGAATTAATGCTCGTATTTTGCTCATACTTTCCTCGTATCTCGAGGTTTCATTGTACATTTCTGAATCCCGTCCTAATAACAGAGGAGTACCTTTGCCAGTATTGCAACAGAGCTAGAATGAATTATTGTGTTAAATATGTGGAAAATGCATGCTTAAAGTACTGTTATTTTCTAAAAATATTCTGTATGTCTATTTTTTACAAGAAGAAAAAATAGCTAAAAGCTGTTAATTTACTCGTATTTATTAGTCCAAAGGGGCTTTGTCCCTAAAGAACTATTGTTTTTGTTTTGCATTGGTTCACTATAAATATCTGTTTCACTTTTCAAACTGTTCCTACCAAATGTTAGAGTCCCTAGTGTGGGATTAATACTCTCTATCTTAGTGCCCTCTATAACCTATGTTAGGGTTAACCTGTATAACCTACAAGGATTGCCAGTTTAGGCGAGATATCTAGGTAGTCATCATAATACGTACCTTATTTTTTATTATTTTTAAATTAAATTGAAAGTAATAAACTAGTTTTCAAGAATGGAGTTAAACTAGATTTGCATTCAACTCTGGTTTATTGTGTTAATGATGTTTTGCTGTAACAAATATGAATTTTTTGTTTAAGTATAATAATTTAAAATGTTTTTTCTAGAGAATGAAGTACTGCCACTAAGGTAAAGGTGCTAACTTGCAAGGTAATTTTCTATTCTACATTAACTCAATCTTTATGTCCTGTTACAGATATATTGGCAGAAATAATGAAAACCTGACATTCAAAAAGAAAAATAATAATGTTGAATGTAGTATATTAGATGGTTAACTGCGGTTTGGCAGCTCATTAATAATCTTACACATATTGAGTACGAATAACTTTGACAATTACCGGTATTTTCAATAGTATAAAATTAGGCAAGAAAGCAGCTTTAGCTTAGCACCGATTTTAAATACAACTCTCTTACCAATATTGGTTTGACGAAGGTAAAATATAATTGAATTTAATAAGTTGGAAATACTGTCTGTCTTTCCATGAGTTAAAAAATAATTTCAAATAAAATTTCTTTTTTCAGTTTTTCATGTTATTTGTTTAATGTTATTGTAATCTGATTTATCATATTTAGTCACATATTCCATCCCTCTTTGCACTATAGTATATAATTCAAAGGACTTATCAGTTTCAGCAATATTTTTTTTACCAGTATACATTTTTACCATAACTCTGTTTCTAAATCATATCCTGAAAAATTAAGGAGTAAAGTACACAAAGAAGGAAAATATGCAAGTAAATAATGGCATTTAGTGTTGTTTATGTGTCTAATATTTGTACTAGATTGTAAAAGTTATAAATTCTATTAGCTTTTTTAAATTATTCTTTTTTAAATTGAGATGCTTCTTTGCACCCAAATGGTTAAAGCCCTAGTGTGACTTTGGTACTTTGATCTAACTTCTATTCCTAATAAATAATCCAGCTGCATACAGTTTACTCAATTTCTGCCATGTGTAAGGTAAACAATATTAGCTTTTTTTAAATATATCTTTTACAACTATTCCATCAGGTAGATTTCTTTCATATTTTGCCTTAATTGAGTCATCCTGCTAATTAAGAATTTATTAAAGTTAATATGTTAAGTTTTTTTGTGTGTATAATTCATTTTAAGTATGTGCAAGCAAATGCATACATTAACAGTTACGTAGAATTATGTTTTGGGTATCAAATTCAGAAAATTTTGGGGCTGTTTTTAGAAGATTTATTAATGATTTATACTATATTAATATTGGTAAAAAAATTCTGTGGCTTTTATATGAGAGTATATATTTTAAAATAGCTGCATGATATGGTAGAGGTAAAAAGCTTCATGTGGATCATAAATTAATATTATGTGGCAATTTTTCATTTATTTAATAAAGAAAATATTCAAGCCACAATTAAAATTTTTTTCACTGGATTATTTGCATACAAAGTTTGCAGCAAATATTTCCTGCAACAGAAGTGACAATTTTTATTTTGCCAAGACAGGAAATTTAGTTAGTGAAAGCAGTAACCCTATTTTGAGATGTTAAACAGGAAGGCAAATTTTTGAATTTAAATTGATTTTTGAAGGAAGACTTCATTTAGTCTTGCTATCATTCTACGTGGCTCTTAACTTTTTTATGGTATTTATAATTTTATTGTTATTCAGCTTTCTGTTTGCTTAGAATGCACATGAATGTAGACTTGAAATATTTTATATTGCAAACTGAGATGCCATTGTTATCATAATTAAAGATTTTTGCTCTGATTTTGGAGGAATTTACTGATAATACTTTTGATTGTGTATTGGTTTCTGGTTTATTGAAATGTGTAAAATAGCCTGTTAATGCATATACGTATGTTAATGACATGTATATGTTTATGAAGTATTCTGTTATATGTATATAGTGTTGTGATTAGTTTTCTGCTTACTCTTTATTTAAGAAAAAGTTATCTGTAAGAAAGCGAATATTCTTTACTATATGTAGGAGTAAAATTGAAAAGGCTAATGCAATATAATTAATACAAAATTAAGTTTTTTCTCATGTACTTAAATACAAACATAGCCATTAAAGACTTTCTCAACCTTGCAGTTCTAAACAAATCTTAAGTATTTTTTACTTGAAATTATAGGCATTGTGTAAGGTATATAATTGAAGCTTACTGTGTGATAGTATGAAATTAAATTTTTAATTACTGAAATGTAAATTTTTAAATATGAAATACTCAGTGCATTTTATATGCATCTTTTAATACTTCAACTATATTTAAAAACTGAAAACATCTGAAGTGTGAAATTATTACAAATTTTTCTTTTTCTTGTTTAGGAGCTGTTCTCAAAACATTGGGTGACAAAGAATTCACTTTTACAAAAATCGAGCAGGATATTAAAGACAGCGAACTATAGAACAAATATGGCGAAGCTGCATGAAGTCTATGTTGAATTTTATTATTGAAAAAAAATATGCTCTTCAGATTTAATGTTAGTTTTTATTGTTTAACAGTAATTGCAGTTTTCGAATACCTGTAAAATAAACCTAATTCTTAAATTAATTTCATGTGTATTTCTTTTGCAAGTATTACAGTTCATAATACTTCAAACAACTTGAAATTTTATACTTGTTAATTTATGTGGGATATGTTCATAATAATTTTATAATTTAAATAACTCATTGTCATCATATGAGCATAATCTAAAATGCACAGCATTTGACAACAAATTAATAAAAAATTAGCCAACTTCTAATTGCTTTCTTTTGTCCAGTTGCCTCTTTTTAAATCATTTAATACCATAAAGCTATTTGATGAAAAAAAATAATTGGTATGTCCACATCAACATGTACATTTATAATGATGTTATAGAAAAAGTCACATGAGATAAATATTTAAAAAACTTCAATATTCCTAAACAAATTAACTTTTTAAAATTTTATCTGGTATATAAGATAAAATAAAGAACATATTTAGGTAATTTTGAATTTGCATAATTTTATGAACTTATTTATGAAATTAACAGTTACATTGTAAAAGGGAACTTTTTAAAAATACCTCAATAAAGCATTTCTTTTGTAGAGGTGAACTTTTAGTACTGATCTAATATATTTATAAGATTTTAAACTGAGAAAGACAACAATAATAGATTACAATACATTGCAAGATTGACTGATAAATGTAAAATTTTTACATATCATAATTATGTGTGTAATTAAAACAGAAGTTACTCGATTAACTTGCATGCAAATTAATATTTTCTTTAACATGTTTGGGATAAACTGAATTTTAATAAATAAATATGTATATATTTGTGTATTATCTGAAGATATGAATGAAATATTTGTGACATTAAACATTCATCTTCAAGGAAAATAACAAAGTCAACTTGGTAAACTATTGGAAAAGGTAAGTTTTCTACAATTTCCTGGTCTATATTTAACAATTTTAAAATTTAGCACACTCATTCAAATAATCTAAACGTATGATGTTTTCTTTTGTGCTACATTCGTTTACTGAATTTGTTAATTAACTATATTGTACTTTAGATAGAAATTAACGTAGATATTCCCTGTATTTTACGGTACAAAAACTTATATATTTGATAATAATTGACCTAAATCTTCCCTATGTTTTCTTTGCATATACGAATGACTTTGGTAAAAATTTAGTCCGATGTCTTCTCCTCTTTACTGTGTATAAGTGCACATTTTTGGTAAAAAATTTGCATAAATCTCCAATTACCTATTTACTGCATTTTTCGTAAAATGTGCTTATTTTAATCTCATATTTTTTTATATAAATCTATGCAAAAATGTTCTGCATATTATGATTAA